TGGCTCTTTGCTTACCTTGTTAACGCTTCCTGCAACTTAGGCCCAGTAGGATGAGCAGATATAGAACTTGGCTGTTGAGACGAGCTCTAACAGTTGTATCGAGGGTAAGGGCGAGCTGGAAGGAGGGGGCAGACTCACAGGGAATGCTTGCAGTCTGTGGCACATGTATTATTTTTCTGTGGCACAGATGCTACGTTTCACCTTTCTTTATTCAGTATTTTGGTAGGGATGTGGGAGGACAACTGAGAATGAACTGTCTCTCTACTTCAGGTATTGACAGTGCCGATGTGGAGACAAAATATACACACAAGAAAAATCAGGAAACTGCCTAAGACTAAACTAATGGACCAAGACATTCATCCAAGAGAAGTCATGGTCTATCACTCTGTAAGGGGACAACTCACTGGTGAGTGATACAGCTCTGGGCTGGGGAAGCCAGGAAGGGCTTTGCAGATTGATCAGCAAGAAGATGGAGTATGACTTATGTCTTTTGAAAAAAAAAATCAACACATGGGTATATTTTTTAAAAACTGAACTACAGAAGAATCAGTGATGCAATTTAAGTTTTCCATTCATGACCCTCCAGCTCCTTCCAGGAGCAACCATGATTATCATTTTTCTGATGTGTCTTTCTATCACACTGAACTCCTTTTTTTCCCTCCTGAACTGATTCAGATTCTATGGGCTTTGCAATGTCATGTGTAATGAAGGGTTAAACTTGGTGTTGTCCATATAAAAATAAGACTCGCTCAGTATAATGTATACGATAGGGACCTACTGATAGATCTTGAGGAACCCTAGTGGATTTCCAAGCCGATTGTTGCCATGGCAATCACTGCTCTACGTGCCTTCAGTTTCTGTCCTGACCCACTTTGGTTTAGATGCATTTCTAACAGAGGGGACAGCAGACACGCTCTCATTTCTAAGCCATTTGGGGACTACATTGGTAGCCTCTCCTTTCCCCAATCTTACAGATTCTGGAAGGCTTCCTAAATGGAAGAATTAAGGACCCGGAGTCTGATACTTTGAAGAGATGGTCTAAGTGAGACTTCAGACATATTGCCTATTGAATTGTAAAAAATATATAAAAATATGAAGAATAATCTTCTCAGGGTGGGCAGTTGGCCTGAGTTAAAATGCCAGTGTGAAAATACTGCACCCCATACTGGAGCATCTGGGTTTGATTCCTGGCTCCAGCTCCTGACTCCAGCTTCCTGCTAATGCAGGGTTCCTGTCAGCCACGTGGGAGACCCTGATGGAGTTCCTGGCTCCCAGCTTTGACCTGGCCTGGCCCAGTCCCAATCATGGTGGGCATTTTAGGAGAGAACTGCAGATGGGAGTGTTCTGCCTCTCAAATAAGTAAATGAATTTAACAAAATCTGCTTGAATTACACTAGGAACAGATTCTCCCGGAATCCCAGCCATTCCTGCTTCTGCTCCTACTCCCACTACCCGGGTGGACACCCAATGCGATAGGAGAAAATATTTGTGTGCCAGGGCCATTATTTATATGCCATTTCATAGCAGGTAAAATTGTCGACTTGCATTAGCAGGAACAAGGAGCCAAACCCAAGAATGGGCTCTGCCCTCCATGGTCCTTCTTGACGGTTCTGGAGCATGGAAGCAGGAGGCCCGGAGGTGGGTTCCTGGCTCTCTTTCTCAAGCCCCTTTTAAAAAGTTGTAAGAGCTGCCTCCAAACTGACAATGCAATAACCTCACAAGAAAACTGTTTAAGGAAGAATTTCTGCTGAGTAGGTTCATCTTAGCCTAGATGTCTGCAAAGCACTGACTTTCCTTTAACTTCAAAGCCCTGTGCTATCTGCTTTTTTTTTTTTTTTGACAGGCAGAGTGGACAGTGAGACAGACCGAGAGAAAGGTCTTCCTTTTGCCGTTGGTTCACCCTCCAATGGCCGCCGCGGCCTGCGCACCGCGCTGATCCGATGGCAGGGGCCAGGTACTTCTCCTGGTCTCCCTTGGGCCATCCTCCACTGCCTTCCCTGGCCACAGCAGAGAGCTGGCCTGGAAGAGGGGCAACCGGGACAGAATCCGGCACCCCGACCGGGACTAGAACCTGGTGTGCCGGCGCCGCAAGGCAGAGGATTAGCCTAGTGAGCCTCGGCGCCAGCCGCTATCTGCTTTCATAATTTTAATGAAGCATTGCACAACTGTTTACAAGCAGGCATCATTGCAGGTGAGTTCCACTGGCCAAATGACCACAGATCGGGGGACCTGCCAGCCGAGTCCAAATCTGCAATCTCCCTGGCTCCAGGGTTCGTGCTCCTCACTCCAGCTTTCCAGGGGAAACGTTCTTGGTGTTTGAGGAGCAGGATGGCAGAAATGAAGGGCAGTTTGCAAGGGCATCTGGGAAACCCGAGAGATTGTGGGAAGGTCAGTTCTCTCTCAAGGTGCATCTGAAGACACCCTCCTCTGGGATGCCCCGTTTTTTGAGAAAAGAGGAGTATATGTCAAACACTTGTTTCAAATGCTCACTTAGTACTTCCTGATTACTGACTTGTATTGCTACAGTAGCTTGTTTCTCTAGAGTCTCCAATTATGTTAGAAAGGACGGACCACGAGAGGATGAGGCTGGACATCCAGCCAAGCAAACTCCTGTTCCTGCCACCAGCTACCTGTGTGAGCTCAGTTTCTGTTCAACTTCAGTCCTATGGGATTCACTGCCCAACTAGTTTTTTTTTTTTTTTTAAAGATTAATTCATCTGGAAGTCAGAGTTATGGACAGAAAAAGTGGAGACAGATCGTCTATCTGCTGGTTCACTCCCCAGAGGGTCACAAGGAAGCCAGGAGCGTCATCCAGGTCTCCCACGTGGGTGGCAGGGGCCCAAGCACGCAGGCCAACTTCAGTTGCTTTTCCCAGGCCATTAGCAGGGATGTCGGTGGGAAGTGGAGCAGTCTGGACTCGAACTGGCACCCATTTGGGATGCCAGCCTCGAAGGTAGCAGCTTTACTTCCTAGGCCGCTAAGCCACAAAGCTGGCCCCACTAGTAGGGTCTTAAGAAATCCTTCGCGTGATTAGTTGGGCTCAACAGTTCTTAGGGGCTTGCGTGCCCCCAAGATAAAACCAAGAAAACTGCGCCTAAGTGTTGTGCGTGCTTGGGCAGTTTAGGGCCTTGCTGCCTCCAACAGGGGCCAAGGAACACTGCCCGCACGGGGACCAAAGAGCAAGGGGAGACAAACTAGCAGTCAAGGGGCAGTGCGCCGGGTGCTCATCTTCCAGACTCCGCAAGGACCAATCTGCACGTGCATTACCAATGTCATTTTTACTAACGGGGGGCCCAAGGTTCAGGTTTAACAAAAGTACCCAGTATCTCCTACCCGGACCCCAAAAGCACAGAACGGATCTCGGGCCCGCCCCCCCACCCCCCGGCGCCCCGCACGAAGGCCCCGCCCACAGCCCGCTCATCTGCATACGGGCGCGGCCAGCCGCCGGCCTGGTACCCGGGCTTCCGCAGGACCCTCTCGCTGGCCGAGGCGCGTCCCCTCCTCTGGGGCAGGCCAGCGGCCTCCCGGGAGAGGAGCACGTGCAAGCTCTCGGCTTCAGGACGGAGCGTGAACTGGCCGTCAGTCTCCCACAGACGCTACCCAGCAGCGCTGGCGAGGGGTCAGGGAGGGCCCGGGGCCGCCGGAGATCGTCACCCCGGCCCTGTGGGGTACGGCTCTTTCCCGCCCCTCCCCGCCCCTGAGCGCGCCGACGACCAACTCGAGCGAAACCGCGGCCGTCCCACCCCGCCCGGCCGCGCCGCGCCTCGCCTCACGCTCGACGGGGGAGGCGGGACCAATCAGCGAACGACGTCTCCCTTCCGATTCGAGGCCCCCGACGCGCGGCTCACACCCCGAGCTCCCCGCGCGCTGATTGGCTGCGCGCGCCGCCGGTCCGGCCGGGAGGCGGGGCGGGCCGAAGGCAAAGGGAGGTGGGAGGCGGTGGCCCGCGACTCCCCGCGTCCCGCTCGCCCCCTGGCCCTTCCCGCGGCGCTCGGCCTCCTTCCTTCCCTCCTCCGCTCCCTCCGTCTTCCGTGCGCGCCCCGCGCGGCGCTCGGCCGGCGTGCCTCGCGCCCTAACGGGCGGCTGGGGGCGCCAATCAGCGGGAGGCAGGGTGCCAGCCCCGGGGCTGCGCCGGCGAATCGGCGGGGCTCGCGGCCCGGGGTGGGAGGCGGGTCTACCCGCGCGGCCGCGGCGGCGGAGGAGCAGCTCGCCAGCCTGCAGCCCGCGAGCGCCGAGCGAGCCGCCCAGAGGTGGGTGCGCTGCGCCGCGGCGGCCGGCGGCCGAGGGCGGAGGGCGGAAGCGGAGGTGGGCCGGCGGGGGCGGGCGCGGGCGCCGGGAGGGGCGGCGGGCGCGCGCCGGTGGGGAGGAGGGGCGGCGGCGGCGGCGGGGCGCGCGCGTCCCCACCCCCTCCTGCCTGCGGGCGGTGGCCGGGCCCCCACCCTGGCCGCGAGGCGGGGCGCCCGGCCGGGCACGGGCCTGGGGGCGGGGCGCGGGGACGGCGCCGAGAGTGTTCTCAGTTCCGCCTCCCTTCTCCCGTTCCCTTCTCGGCCTCCCAGCTCCCTCCATCCCATGGGGGAGAGGACGCGAACCCAAAGGATAGCAGGTCCATCCTGCTTTTGTTGGGCGTGCGCCCTTGTGGCTTGGAATGGAGGTAGGGGATCTGTGCTCCGTTGTGGCCGTCGGAGAGGCGTCCCGTTTAGCGAGTAGACAGCCAGCCAGGGGAAACATGGTAAAGTTCACAGGGCTTCCGGAAGGGACTAGGGGCTGGGGTGGGGCGAGATCGGGGCCGTGGGCGCGCCGGCCGCGGGCGGGTCGCCGGCGCCGCACGCTCGGTGGGTTGTGGCTGTGGTCGCTCCAGCCCGAGGGCCGGAGCTCGGGTTGCGGGAGTTGTCGGGAGCGCGTGAGGAGCGGCTGGTACTTTGCTTCCACTTTTTGTCGTGTGGTGCTGTAACCTTTGTTAACCGTGAGAGCCGCGGGCTGCGAGGGGCGGTGTGCGCTCTCGAACGCGCGCAGGCTGCGGCTCGGCCCGGCAAAGTTGCTCCCGGAGCCGGCCTGCTCGGCGCCCTCGCCTTCCGCGGGCTGCAGACTGGCCGCACGCAGTCGCAGCTCGGATCCCTGCCTTCTCTGGCGGGACCTGCCCGTGGGTCAGGCGCTTGTCTGTCTGTCTCGTTACTTACAAACCCTTGTTTGATCCAAGACGCGAGAAAAACGTGATCTAGGTTGCTTTTGGTGTTTTCCTTTGGACCCTTGAAAAGCTAAATACCGCCCGCTCGTCGCCTACCAAACCTTTGTTTTTTTTTGAAAAGCCTGCAGGTGGGACGGATTGGGAAGTTGTGCTTCTAACAGGCATTCTTGTTTGCTACGGTGTGGAATATCGACTTGGTATTCCAAACTTGTGTAAAATGCCATTTGTAAAGTTATTGTTAGTAGACGGTCAGGTAAACTGCTTTGGAGTAATTCTGTCTTTTCAGAAGTTCCTGACATGAATTAAGGTTGAAAAAAAATTTTTTTTTGTTATTTTCTTCTAATTTCACATAAGTTGAACCTGTACCACTGATAAGGATGCGTTCCTTGGGTCTGATGGAGTAAATTTGCTGTTACTGTACAGAAAGTACACAGGCTGTTCTACTTTCGACCTCAGTTTTAAAAGTTCTCGTCTGGTGGAGAGCTGTTAGTCAGATAGTTAAATGAGGTTTGAACTGCTTGGTACACGGATTAGTGAGGCAAATGTATCAGTGATGGAAGGAATGTAAAACGTGTTTCATCAGTGTATCGTGGTGAGGGTTTTTTCATTTGCCTTAAAACCCCTACCTAGGGTATTTTGAGAATTCCCTTCCCTAGAAAGTCATGTGGCAGACGTTTGTATTAAATTCTGAAACACAGCGGTTTTGTTTTTAAGATTTCTTAGTTTTCACATAAACGTAGCTGTGTTGGTAAATATAAACAGTTGATGTGTTTGAACATTGCTAAAGCAAGTGCCCGCTTACCCTCTCGCAGTTGAAATCCGCATTTCATTGCGTTTAAGTGTTGGCTGTGTTTAATGTAACGAGCTTGGAAAGTCCGTTTCTGGGGGTGTTTTAGTAAGAAACTGCTCTTCGGAAGAGCGTGCTTTTTCTACGTTCACCTTCCAGTGTGGTTTTGAATTTTAGGTGTTCAACAAAAAATTGGGTTTTTCAAGGTTGTAACCTACCAGTGCTTAGTCATAAGAGGTTAATTTTCTACACAATCGGTAATGAAATAATAGTCTTGTAAGAAATTGTGCAGGGTGATTTCCTGTTTGTGGTTTGTCAGCCTTGGTATGTGTTTTAACTCCTAGGTGGGAATATTGGGGCTGGATTTTTGTATTTCAGCACAAGTTGTGTTTAATAGGAAGAGGTGGTTTCTACTTCAAGATGTCAAGAGGCCCCCTTGCATTTTTATATTGTAAGTACTAGAATCACGGTGTTGAAATATTACTGCTTCACAGTAGGGGGAAATGCATGAGTGGGAATTAACACACTCCGTTTAGCTGCTGGTCAGAGACTTGTTGAATTTTTACATTTTGTAAATTGTCAGTTTTGACTTGGAAGCCTAGAAAGTTTTTCTTACGCTTGTTTGGTTTTGACTGTGCTTTAGGACCCCCAAAACTTAATTTTCTGGCAGTTTTTTAAAATTTTTTAATTTATTTATTTGACAGGTAGAGTTATAGACAGTGAGAAAGGCCTTCCTTCCGTTGGTTCACTCCCCAAATGGCCTCTATGGCTGGCGCTGTGCCGATCCGAAGCCAGGAGCCAGGTGCCGCCTCCTGGTCTCTCATGTAGGTACAGGGGCCCAAGCACTTGGGCCGTCCTCCACTGCCCTCCCGTGCCACAACAGAGAGCTGGACCGGAAGAGGAGCAACCAGGACTAGAACCCGGCGCCCACATGGGATGCCAGCTCCGCAGGTGGAGGATTAACCAAGTGAGCCACTGCGCCGGCCCCTCTGGCAGCTTTAAATACAAGTGGATTTTGTGGTGTATGTAAAAGCCGTATTTAGAGCATTCTGGCAGATAGAGGTTTATTCATATTTTGGAAACGAGTTTTTAGAGGATGAAGGGAGACTTGTTTTGATGGGCGCAGAGGAGCCATTTTTAGGCCCGCAGTTTCTGTAAAAGCAAGGTGGTTTTCCACTAAATATTACAAGAGTATATCAGAAAATGTGAAATGTAGGGACCCTTGGCGACGCCCACACCCCATATCTCAGTGCCAGTGTGCCTGGGAAGGCAGCAGGTGATAGCGCAGGTACTTGTGTCTCTGCCACCCAGCTGGTCTTCCAGGCTCCTGGCTTTGGCCTGGCCCAGCCTGAGACATTTGGAGAGTGAACCAGCAGATGGAAGATCTTTCTGTCTCCTTCCCTGTCACTCTGCTGTTCAAAGAAATGATTTAAAAAAAAAAATGATTTATTTAATTATTTTTTGAAAGGCAGAGTGACAGAGGCAGAGAGATCAATCTTGCATCCACTGGTTCACTCCCCAAATGGCCGCAAGGACCGGGGCTGGGCCGATCCAAAGCCAGGAGCCAGGAGCTTCTTCCGGGTCTCGCATGTGTTCTCTCAAGCACCTGGGCCATCTTCTGCTTTCCCGGGCCATAGCAAAGAGCTGGATTGGAAGTGGAGCAGCCAGTGCTTGAACCGGCACCCATATGGCATGCCGGCACTCAGGCGGCAGCCTCACCAGCTATGCCACAGTGCTGGCCCCCAAATAAATCTTTTTTCTTCTTTTTTAAAGATTTATTTATTTATTTGAAAGTTACACAGAGAGAGGAGAGACAGAGAAAGAGGTCTTCCGTCCGCTGGTTCACTGCTGATACACCATAGCACCGGCCCCAAAAAAATAAATCTCAAAAATGTGAAGTAGGGACCAGCGCTGTGACACAGCAGGTTAAAGCCCTGGTCTGCAATGCTGGCATCCCATATGGGCACTGGTTTGAGTCCTGGCTGCTCCACTTCCGATCCAGCTCTCTGCTATGGTCTGGGAAAGCAGTAGAAGATGGCCCAAGTCCTTGGGCCCCTGTGGGAGGCCTGGAAGAAGCTCCTGGCTTCGGATCGGCACAACTCCGGCCGTTGTGGCCATCTGGAGAGTGAACCAGCAGATGGAAGACCTTTCTCTCTCTCTGCCTCTCTGTAACTCTTTCAAATAAATAAATAAATCTTTATTAAATAAATGAGGTGTAAGGAATTTAAAACTGGTTTAGGAGAGGTTATGCATTACTTGAACAACTTGTATTTGTGGACAAGTCACATTTATTCAATGGTTTTTTTCTGTGTCTCAGACTGTGGGCTAGCAATAAAGTGTTTCACAGCAAATCATTACATCCCTGTTCCTTAATGCAATTAGGACAGTGGACACTTGATGTTTTCTGCCCCATTCCCTAGTGTTTGAGTAAGATAGTGTACTAAGTGTGGGAGCACACGATGCCTGCGGCAGTGAGCTCACGGTGCTCTCTGTGCTTTGGACAAGAGGGTACTGGAGAAGATGTGTAGTGTGAACTCATGGGATCACTGGAGCAGCCACTGTGTTTCGATGTGTGTGGTCTGTGGAAACTGAAGGTATAGCTGATCTTTCAGAAACAAGTTTGTGGTTGAGCAGAGACACACCTGCAGAGCAGTTTAATTTGATTACCTATTGCCCTGTAGTTATAAAAACTGATTAAGGGGAAAAAAGCAAATCTGAGTCAGGGTCCGGGTGAGAGAATTAGGAATAAGGTGTCAAAACAAACTGAGAATAAGGGTTTGGTAGCAGTCTCAGGTGAAGGAGAGGCCTTGGGGTTTTGATCAGAGCTCTAGGTTGAAGTTTGGTTTCTCAGTTACAATGTTGAGTAAATTACTCAACTCTAGAAAATAGGTGTAGTAAGGCCTGCCTGTTACTGTTACTGTGGGGATTAAATGATTTCCATTGCCTGAGACATAGGGTCCTCTTCTTTTGCTCTCTTCTGGATGTGAGTTTCACTTTGTTTGGCTCTTTTTTTTTTTTTTTTCTTTTAAAGATTTATTTATTTATTTGAAAGTCAGTGTTACATAGAGAGAGGAGAGGCAGAGAGAGAGAGGTCTTCCATCTGCTGGTTCACTCCCCAATTGGCTGCAACTGCGGAAGCTGAGCTGATCTGAAGCCAGGAGCCTCTTCCAGGTCTCCCACCTGGATGCAGGGGCCCAAGCACTTGGGCCATCTTCCACTGCTTTCCCAGGCCATAGCAGAGAGCTGGATCAGAAGTGGAGCAGCCGGACTCGAACTGGCGCCCATATGGGATGTCGGCGCTTCAGGCCAGGGTGTTAACTTGCTGCGCTGGCCCCTGTTGGGCTCTTTCTAATCCACATATTTTGCCTACACTATTATCCCTGACAAGCAGCCTTTAAGCAGGAAAGACCTGGAGTGGCCAAATTGTCCAAGTCCATATCTTAGAGCATAGGAGAGCCTTTGAGAACCTTAATCAGAACCTGTTGGCATGTATTTAAAATGTTTCTAACAAGCCAAGTTATCAGGCTTCTAAGCCCATAGGAGATTAGAAGCAAGTAGATTATGGGTAGTGTGGGGAGGCCTCAAGAGGGGTGGAGGAGGACAGGGACTGTTAACCTACGGTCTATTGTAAGGAAAAACAGATAACAGCCTGTGAGGATAATGGAGATAATCTGCAGAGCCTGACTAGCATGTCTGGGGCCTTTGAGAACAGGACCAGACTTGAAAACCTAGTAATGAGTGTTAATCAATTAGCTTAAATCACGTTTGGGAAAATCTTTTTAAGAGTGCAGTAATCTACATAATATACTTCAGATTGTCATTCAGGATGATTAACACATGTTCCTGAAGGGGTAGAACATTATGAAGTAGTGAATGACTTCGTGAGAGACCCACAAACCTACCATGACCGCGATAACTGATTTATCCGCCATTCAGAGAGCCATGACTCCAGACAGAAATGGCCTTCGTGCTAGCCAGAAGTGACGAATGGTGGCGATCTTAGTGGTGTAGCACCCTGTGTCACACCTTTTCTTCAGAGGAAGTCATTTCTTTTTGCTGTTGTGCAGGAGTGTCATGTAAAACTTTTCACTCAGGCGTTGAGAGTATATTAGATTTCTAGGACAGAGTGAATGTGGACAATTGGCCAGTTTCTCTTTTGAGGGCTTCTTGCCTATTATATGTGACTTACATCCATTATTGGCTTTGATAGCTTTTTAAGATCCACTTATCCACTTTCCTACCTCAGAGTTACTTTTTAAACCGTCCGCTCCATGTTAGCATTGAGCCTTAAAACAAAAATAGGGAGTGGGTGTTTGGTGTAGTTAAGACACTTGCATCCCACATCGTAGTGCCTGGGTTCCAGTCTCCACGGAGTTTCCAGTTCCAGCGTTCTCCCGATGCATAACGTGGGAGGTGGTAGGTGATAGCTCAGGTGCTTGGGTCTGCCACCCATGGGGTAGACCCAGATTGAATTCCTGGCGCTTGGCTTTGGCATTGGTTAGCCCCAGCTGTTGCAGGCATTTGGGGAGTAAAACAGTGGAGAGAAGATCTCTCTCTGTCTTTCCAATAAAAGTAGAAATAAATTTTCTAATAATGTCATTTATTTTTTGAAGATTTATTTATTTATTTAAAAGAGTTACACAGAGGAGAGGCAGAGAGAGAGAGAGAGAGGTCTTCCATCCGATGGTTCACTCGAGAGAGACAGAGAGAGAGAGAGAGAGAGGTCTTCCATCTGATGGTTCACTCCCCAGATGGCCGCAATGGCCGGAGCTGCGCTGTTCCGAAGCCAGGAGCTTCTTCCAGGTCCCCACGTGGGTGCAGGGGGCCCAAGGACTTGGGCTATCTTCTACTGCTTTCCCAGGCCACAGCCGAGAGCTGGATTGGAAGAGGAGCAGCCAGGACTAGAACCGGCGCCCACATGGGATGCTGGTGCTTCAGGTCAGGGCGTTAACCCACTGTGCCACAGTGCCAGCCCCTAAAATATCATTTTAAAATAGATTTATTTATTTTTATTTTGAAAATCAGAGTTACAGAGAGTGGAGGGAGAGGCAGAGGGATCAGTCCGCTCCTTCACTCCCTAGATGATTGCAAATGTGCAGTCTTCTGCAGCCAGAAGCTTCTGCCTGCCACATGGGTGGCAGGGGACCCAGACACTTGAACCATTCTTCCCAGACTGTTAGCGGGGGGCTGGATCGGAAGTGGAGCAGATGGGGCACAAACCCAGCTCCCATATAGGATGCTGGTGTTGGGGCAGACTTCTATGCCACAGTGCTGGCCCCAAATGGCATTTTTAAAAAAGATTTATTTATTTATTTATTTGAGAGGTAGAGTTACAGACAGAGGGAGAGAAAGGTCTTCCATCTGCTGGTTTACTCCCCAGATGGCCGCAACTGTCAGAGCTTTGCTGATCTGAAGCCAGGAACTTCTTCCGGGTCTCCCACGTGGGTACAG